TCATGATTTCATGGTTTGTGGGTTCGAGCCCCGCGTCAGGCTCTGTGCTGCTGGCTAGCTCAGAGCCTGGAGCCTGTTTCAGATTCTGTGTCTCCCTCTCTCTCTGACCCTCCCCTGCTCATGCTGTCTCTCCCTCTCTCTCTCAGAAATAAATAAAACATAAAAAAATTTTTTTAAAAATATATATTTAGATGGGGTGCCTGGGTGGCTCAGTTGGTTAAGCATCTGACTTCGGCTCAGGTCATGATCTCGCGGTTCTTGTGTTCGAGCCCCGCATGGGGCTCTGTGTTGACAGCTCAGAGCCTGGAGCCTGCTTCAGATTCTGGGTCTCCCTCTCTCTCTGCCCCTTCCCCACTCATGCTCTGTTTCTCTCTCTCTCTCAAAAATAAATAAGCAAAAAAATAAAAAATAACTAAATAAAAATATACATTTAGGGAAAAAATATAGGATATTTTCTAAGACGTTATCTCTGGGTAGTAAAACTATGGGTAATTTTAAGGTTTATTTATTTTGAGACCGAGAGAGCAAGAGCATGTGCATGCATGAGTTGTGGAGGGGCACAGAGAGAATCTCAAGCAGGCTCTGCACTGTCAGCATAAAGCCCAATGCAGGGTTTGAACTCATAAACTCTAAGATCATGACATGAGCTGAAATCAAAAGTCGGTCACTTAACCAACTGAGCCACCCAGGCACCCATATTAAATTTTAACGTCCTGTTTGCTTATATTTTCTATACTGCTTACAGTGAATATGACCTTGAATAAGCCACTTAACCTCTCTGAGCCTTAAATCTAAACTGGGTATACAATAGTACTGTACATATAACATCGTAACTTGTTCGAGGACTAAAGAAAATTATACATGTAAGATGTTTAGCATAGTACCTACTATATAGCAAAGGCTCAACACATAGAAGCTGCTAGTATGGTTATGATGAACATTACTGCTTTAAAAAAATGTTTATTTATTTATTTTGAGAGAGAGAGTATGCTCGAGAACTGGGGAGGGGCAGAGAGGGAAAGAGAATCCCATGCAGGCTCCGTGCTGTCAGTGCAAAGCCCAGCCTGGGGCTGGATCCTATAAACCGTGAGATCATGAGCTGAGCCAAAATCAAGAGTCGGATGCTTAATCAACTGAGCTACCCAGGTGCCCCATTGCTGCTTTTTTAATAAGAACAAAAAAGGTTAAAAACAAACAGAAAAAACCCAGAGCAGACAATTGTCCTGCCTGTTTCTCTGCAGTCTCAAGCCCATTTCATGATACAAAAGTCTGGAAGATGATCAAGCAGTAGTGTCTACTAGGGCTCCCTTGAGGCTGCCTGGCTTCACACTTGGTCATCCTGCTTAAGTGTCAGGCACTTACCTCCCTAGGACTCCACTAGACTGTGAGCTCCTGGAGAGCAGGTATCACCTTAAACATCTGCTACAACCCAGTGCCTGGCAACATTCTGTAAAAATGCAGCAAATATCTACTGGCATTCTCTTTGAATAGGGAGGTGCATAGGAAGGATGATATGGATAGGAAATGGGTTATTTGGAATCCTGCAAGGCTGAGGCCATAGTAGCTGTTTTTAAGGAGGCAGAGGCCTGGAGTAAGGGCATGGTTTCATGTCACAGTAGCAACCCCTCACTCATGATTCATTTGACAGAATCCTTCTATATTTCTACATAGGCATCTGCACCTATATATTTTTGCACAAGCTGACTTCTTTGCCTGGACTACTTATTTCCCTTCTCCTCCTGTCTAATTCCTAATTATTCTTTAAGGTTCACCTTCAAAAAATACCTCCTCTTGGAAACCTCAGGCTTCCATTGTACCTCGACAGTTCAGGCTGGCAGGAACATTTCTCAGGATTCCCTTGCTGTGTTCAAGCTTATGAAATCATCAAAGTGCCCTCAGGATTCCCCTACTGATCCCATCTTACCATTCCCAGGAAAAAGAGCTAAAGACTATAATAGGAGAGATTCAAATTAGGTATCAGGAAAAGCTTCTCAATGACAAATGAAAAGCCCTGGAGTGACTATGTGAAAAGAGAAAAGAAAGACCTTTAAGGGATCTTTCCCTTACAGGTCAAGGCAAGTGGAAACTTCACTCAGCCAAAAGACAGATGGAAAGGTGCTTTAGGTGCTCCAGGGTCTCTGTTACCTAAAGGTGGAGTTTTACCTGCTGGAGCATCCTGCTTCAAGGTGGTCAGCCAGGGTTCTGGGTCGCAGGCACAAGGAGTGCTATCAACCTGGTCATGGGGCCACAGGCTGGAGCATGGGTCCAGCTAAGGGCTCAGTTCTGGAGGAATCTGAGAAGAGTCACGCCCAGAGCCTATAACATGGGAGAGAAGACAAGGGCCACGCACAGGTTAAGGGCTTCTCCAGAATGACTCACTCTTGCTCCTCCCACCAAGCATGAGGAACCACAATGAGAAAAAGGGCAAGCCTGGGCAAAGAGGAAAAGTCTGCCCTATCCCCTGCCAATTAGGGAACAGAGAAAACTTTTATGAGAACCTTCAGAGGCTCCCAGGGCTCCTTCAGGGCCAGTTTTACTATAGGGGTTTGAGGTAGGGCTACATATGTTCTGAGTCAGTGTGCCATGGAAGATGAAGATGCTGGGAGACAGAGAAGTCTCGTGTCCTATCATCTCCATATCCTATATTAGTGCAGTCAGTAATTGATAGAGCAGGGAGGCTGGAGTCAATTCCTGATGCTCTAGGGAAGCAAAATCATAGCTCAGTGATTCACAGGAAAGCCACATCAGCTTCCTGACCCACCTTGATCCCTCATCTTGAAAATCTACCTTACAAGGTAACCTTCAGGTGGGTTGTGAAGGTCCGTGTTATGGAGTACAAATCTGAAAATTCACTCAGAGGGGGAATATTGGTAGTACTACTACTAAAGACAGATAATCCATTTGGGGGCACTAATCAGGTGGAACAGCCCAGCGTCAACATTAAGACAGCAAGGATTTCAAAGGAACATCTGTCTCAGAGACAGGGGTGTTGTGAAGCTGTACCCAGGCCAATCTCTGAAAAATTGTAAGTGACCCTCAGACTCAAAATTTCCCAGATCTCACACCTCCCTAGCAAGGAGGGATGAGGATGAGGGGTGTCTATAATGAATTAACCCAGGCAGAGAGTTTTTTGAGGCTCTGAATACATGTAGCATTTAAAAGGACTCAGGCATAGGGACTTCATGGAAACTGGTAAAAGGATAGAGAAGGGCATCGGAAATGTGTTGGGCACATTCACCTTGGACATGAACCATATGCTGTCCACAGGACAGCTATGAAGAGGACAACCTAAGGGGTCAAGGAGAATAAAGCTCCCTCAACTCCAAGCTCATTTTAAGAGGATCAAAGGGGGAGCATAATAGATTGTGGAGTTAGAAACCAAAGACCACAACTCCTGAAAGGCAGATCACACGAGGTCTCTAAACCTTATTCCGTTTACTCGTTTGCAAAAAAGAATACGAGTATCTACACCTCAAAATGCTGAGTTAAGGATCAAACGGGCTAGTACCTCAAAATGCTGAGTTAAGGATCAAACAGGCTAGTACCTCAGAAAAAGCTTTGCAAAAGTTGGTTATTACAATGCAGCTTCCTTTCCTAGCCAGCGTCAGATGAGAGCGGTTTTCTCCAGTTCTCCCAGCTCTTGCTCTCCCCACTTTCGCGGTTACCAGCCAAGAATTTCTGGAACGGGTGTGACCACTGTGGGCAGAAGGGTGATGGTAATGAACAGATGAAACAGCAAGGCAAGAAGCAACCTGATCACTAGCTCCTCCTCCCCAGCCTCAGGTTCGTCCTGGGCTTAGAGGACAGTGGAAGGGCAGACGAGAAGACCTGGGTAAGGGTCCTGGGAACCTAAGGGGGACCGCCACCAGTTTCCCGGCGGGAACCAGGGCTTCCTCTCTGGACCAGGTTCCCGCCGGGACTAGGGCTCGGATGCCGCTCCGGAAGCACCTGGCACGGGGAGAGTACGTCCTTCCCAGGAAGGTGGATGTGACCCCAACCAAGGGCGCGGCTGCCCTGACGCTTCCCGGGACCAGCCGCCCCTTCTCCGTCCCTAGGAAGGCGAGAGGGGCAGGAGCCGGGACTCAGCCTACCAGCTGAGACCTTTCCCCGACTTCGGGCCGCCTCCTGCCAACAATGTGGAGAGGTGGAGGGTGACCATGAAAGGTTCTTGTTCTTGGCAGGGGCCAGGGGCTGGGCTGTCCCGTCTTGAGATACGAGACGGTCAAAAAGGAAATGGGAAAAGGAAGAGGAAGACGCCCCCTGTTCCTCAGCGCTCCAGGGACAAAACTGCACCTTCAGGGTAGTAACGCGCTTCGGATCTGGGCTAGGGGTGACACTCACCGGTCCCACGGCTTGAGCCGCCACGCCGACGCGAAAGCTGGCGGGCCGGGAGAGCCTGGGGAGAGGAGGGAAGAGGAGAGGGCGGGAGCGAGCGGGGGTGGAGAGGAGCCTGGACCGCCAGAGCTCACCGGCCGGCTGCCGCTCTGGCACAGTGGCCCGAGCGGGCTGGCTCCTCCCCCGACGCGGGGCGCGCACCGGCAGCGCGGGGCGCACGTGGTCCGCTGGGGATGCTGGGGTCTGAGATAGGGCTTCAGAGGGGACAAACTGTTTTGAGAATCTGGGAAAAGACGGGGATGAGCCGCAGGCCTCCCGTGTTCTGGCGGGGGAAGCGCGGGAGGCAGGGCCTCCGGGGCCTCACAGGGCCGTGGAGTCCTTCAGTAGAGGACGCCGTGGTTTAACACTGAGCCGGGCCCTCGGACCCCACCACTCCGCCAGAGCCCCGTCAAAGGGCTCGAGAGGCTGCGGTGAGGCGCGTGACGCGCCAGCTCCGCTCGGAGCTCCTCTGATCGACCGGGGCGCGACAAGCCCACCACAAAAAAGAACAGGCACGGAGAGACCTCCGGGCTGGGGACTGCTCCTGTCCTGGGCGGAGCGCGCGCGCAGAATCCGCCCGCTGGGAAGCGCAGGCGCCCCACGTCGGCCGGAAGCCGGGCTCGGGAGGCGGAAGCAGGTTGCTCCAGGTGGCGGTGCGGCTGCGGTGGTAGCGGGGCAGCGGGGCTCATAGAGGGCTCGCTGCCAAGGCGCCGGGACACGGAAGGCACGAGAAGTGTAAGGGCCGCCACAGCCGTGGCGCGTGTCAGTCGGGAAAAGGACTCCTTTATTTTTAAAGGCCAGTCGATTTGGGTCAGTTTGTTTTTTTTTTTTAATTTGAGAGAACAAGAGAAAGTGGGGTGTGGGGCCATTCACAAGGTTTGATCCTACCACCCTGAGATTTGACCTGCCTGGAAATCAAGTCATAGCTCAACTGACTGAGCCACCCAGGTGCGCGCCCCCACCCTTACAACGGTTTGTTATCGTGAGGTGTTGTTGTTGACTCAGACCATCAGGCATGTATGCATTTATGTGTTCAACATGGTTCTGATTTACTTAACAAACTTCTTCCTGTGTGCCACATTTCAGACACTGATACATGACAGGTGTTTTACATCCCTTTGAAACCACTAACACTAGTGTGTGCTATACACCCATGCCTCCCTGCTCCCGCCCCTTTTCCCATTATTAGCATCCATTCTACTTATCTACACCTTTTTTCAAGGTTCTTTTTTTTTTTTTTTTAGTCTTGAGGTCTGTTACTTATTTTTTTTTTTACATTTATCATGCCATGAATTCATAAGGAATGGGCTCCAGCAGCTCAGGCTCCTTTCCATTGGTTCTCACGAAGTGTGCTTCTCTGGGTGGGGCAGGCTGGCGCTTCAGCTGAACCCAACTACCCTTCTCCTTGGCTTCCTTCTTTTTCTGGTCATTTTCTTTCACACGCTTCAGAAAGCTGTCTCGGCTCTTTGAGTGCTTAATATGCTCAATACGTACATTAATTCTCTTAGCAAGAATCTTTCCCTTAACTTGCTTGTTTACGACGATGCCAACAGCATGCTGGGTAACATTGTAGACTTCCATTTTGCCTTGGTAACATTTGTGGGGCATCCCTTTTTGAACAGTGCCCATTCCCTTGATGTCCACAATATCACCTTTCTTGTAGATTCGCATGTATGTTGCCAAAGGAACAACTCCATGTTTCCTAAAAGGCCTAGAGAACATGTAGCGAGTGCCCCTCCTCTTTCCCTTTGTGTTGGTCATTTTGGCGAATTACTGGAATATGGCGGTTCCGCGGTTCTTTTTTTTTTTAAGTTTATTTATTTTTGAGAGAGACAGAATATGAGTGGGGGAGGGGCAGAGAGATAGGGAGACTCAGAATCTGAAACAGGCTCCAGGCTCTGAGCTATCAGCACAGAACCCCATGCGGGGCTCGAACACAAGAACCGTGAGATCATGACCTAAGCCGAAGTCGGACGCTTAACCAACTGAGCCACCCAGGCGCCCCTCTACCTATCTACACCTTAACCTGAAAAATGGTTAAAACTGGCTGTAGGGGCGCCTGGGTGGGTCTTTCGGTTGGACAGTCAATTTCCTTTCACGTCATGAGCTCACAGCTTGAGAGTTCCAGCCCTACATTGGGTTTTAAGCAGTCAGCGTGGAGCCTGCTTCGGATCCTGTCTCCCTCTCTCTCTCTGCCCCTTCCCCTGCTGGAGCTCACTCTCCCTCAAAAAAAAAAAAAAGTATGTAAATGAGGTAGGGAGCCTCTTGGGGCTCTAGAGGTCTCTGGAGAACTAGTATTTTGACCTGGGGACAATGGGTTCAGAGAGTCTCTTCACACAAACCCAAGTACTCCAATGTGTACTTCTCTCCCTGTCCCTTTTGGCTTTGACTTGAAGTCATTAGTTAGGTGTATTCAGTTTGCATTACAAAATCTTAATGGCTTATCCCATGCTTTGTAATAGGAATTCCTATCTGCCTGATATCATTTTTAGGGTTTATATCCGAAATTACCTTCTGAGTCTGTCTTATACTGAGAATAGCTAAAAGTTTTGAACTAATTTCATACTAGTAGTATGACATTCTTATCCTGATGTTAGTGTTAGGTTTCATCCCACAATCCTTGGAAGGGGAATCACAAATTCTAGTTTTGTTCTGACTTGAAATCGTTAGGGCCTAAAGTTCTGCTCTGAAACCTAAAAATAAGAGAAAACTCAAGTAAGGTTCCACAAGAACTTTGCTTTTCCAATGCATCCCTTTGCTCGTTTTCACAGGAAGAAAGAAAAAATGTCTCAGAAGCAGATGAAGGAAGCTTTTGTCAGTAACCACAATGGAACCAGCGTGCTGGAAGTCACCCAGGGCTTGTGCTTGCCTGCACTCTGTATTGTGTGCAGAGGTTTCCTGATCATTCTCTCACAGCACTTGTGTTCTTCACATACCTGGAGAACCAGATTCTGCATTGACTTTGTTTTCCTGATAGTTCCCCTTGTGGCCACTTTGACCATTTTGTCTTCATTTGTCCTCCTTGAGCACCTTGCTGTAATTATCTGTGGGGCAGGGCTGTTCTATCAAATATACTGCAGGAGAACTTGTGCCAGAATGCCTGTCCGGAAAATGCTTGAAAAATTCTTGAAAATCAGTCTAGAATCTGAATACATTCCAGCCATCTCTTGTTTCCGTGTAATTAACAGTGCATTTACTGCTATTGCCATTTTGGCTGTGGACTTTCCACTTTTCCCCAGAAGATTTGCCAAAACTGAGCTCTATGGGACAGGAGCAATGGATTTTGGAGTAGGAGGTTTTATTTTTGGGACTGCAATGGTTTGTCCAGAAGTTAGGAAAAAATACACAGAAGAGTCCAGATTTTATTATCTTACAAAGTCATTGTACTCTGTTTGGCCATTAGTCTTACTAGGAATAGGACGATTAGTCATTATAAAAGCCATAGGCTATCAGGAACATGTGACTGAGTATGGAGTTCATTGGAACTTTTTCTTTACCTTAATAGTTGTGAAACTGATAACGTCATTGCTTTTGATTATTTTTCCTCTAAATAAATCCTGGATCGTGGCAATGAGCATTATTGTATTATACCAGCTAGCCCTTGACTTTACCCCATTGAAAAGTGTAATTTTGTATGGCACTGATGGTAGTGGCACAAGGGTTGGTTTATTAAATGCCAACAGAGAAGGAATAATTTCTACCTTGGGGTATGTGGCAATTCATATGGCTGGTGTGCAAACAGGGTCATATATGCTTAAAAAAAGATCACATGTCAAAGACTGGATAAAAGGGGCATACTGTATTCTGCTGGCAGCTATTAGCCTCTTCATATCTCTCTACATAGTTCAGGTAAATGTAGAAGTAGTATCTCGGAGAATGGCCAATTTAGCCTTTTGTATTTGGATAGTTGCTTCTAGCCTGATCCTTCTTAGTAGTTTATTACTGGGTGATATAATTTTGAGTTTTGCCAAATTTCTAATTAAAGAAGCTGTAGTGCCATGTTCTTGGAAACTGATCCATTCGTCTGTCACAAATAAAAAGCATTTAGAATCTCTAGCCTCTGAAGCTAAAAGAAAGGAACCCAGTCTTTGTTTAATCACAGCTATGAATAGAAACCAGTTAATTTTTTTCTTGCTGTCAAATATAACAACTGGTCTGGTCAACCTGTTGATAGATACATTACACAGCAGTACTTTGTGGGCCTTATTTGTGCTCAATGTCTATATGTTTACCAACTGTTTAATTATATTTGTGCTACACTTGCAAGATAAGACGATAAAATTTTGGTGACCAGTATGGGAAGTACCTGTGTTACAGCAATATTTTAAAGAGGAAGAATATTAAATGTAAAGAAAATGGGCTTTTGGCAACCCAGTATTAACCATATTTGTTTCAATCCTCTAAAATAGTAATGATGCTTAATGTTTTAATGTGTCTCAACACTATATAAAACCAATAGAGGAAAAGTCTTGTGACTTGTTAGAGTATTTATTAAATTTCAGTATTTTAAAGAAACTGCCGTCGTGACACTGAAAGATTGGAGGGTGGAGAGGGGGAATTTAACTTTATCATACCATTCTGTATTTTTTTATTATATGACTTTTATAATAACAGTTACATGAAAATATCTGTGAATTTATTGTATGACTTTTGTAATAAAATTTACATGAAAACATCTCAGTGTGAATTGTGGAACTGTCAACGCTTCTTTACTTGGTCAATTTTAATCTTTTAAAAAAGCCTAAGTATATGAAATCAAGCATTTATAATCAAATACTTAAATACTATAAGATAACAGTTGAATGCTCCAAAGAATGAATTGTATGATGTAGTTTACATGCCTAGTAACTATGAGACAATAGTTTTACTTTGGGACTGATTATTATTTTTTTTAGCCAACTCTATGCTACGGATGATAAGCAGGTTTCCTGATATCTTGGAGCTTGCAATCTAGTGGGGAAACAGACACTGAACAACTATTATAAACTGTGTTAAGTCATTAAGTATGGGTTGCCAAGAGTGTCAAATCAAGAACTGACCTAATAGAGTCAAAGTTTTCCCCACAGATGGTATTTCTTTTAAAAGATTTCATTTTTATGTAGTCTCTACACCCAATATGGGGCTCTAACTTACAAACCCGAGATCAAGAGTTACAGGCTTTACAAACTGAGCCAGTTAGGTGCTCCCAGATGGTATTTTTTTGAACTAGAGCTAATGGGTGGTCTGAGGAATTCAAGTGTTTGTGGTTAAGGGAAGGGGTAAACAGCAGAGAACATTCTAGGTAGAATGTATCTTTCAGCAAAGGTCCTGAGTTGGGAGGATACCTAGTATATCTTGGAACTCAAGGCTGGAGCTCAGAAAATAGGAGGGGGTGGGTAATAAGCTAGAGAGGCAGGCAGGGGTCTTATCTACCATGTTAAAGGGAAGGAGAACCAATGAGAAAGTCATGTACTAGGCTGATTTAATACAACTAGGCTATATTAAAGTTTAATTTCCTCCTGAGAATTTGAGTCATTTAAAAATTCTAAGCAGATATTTGAACCGACTGTTCAAAATCTAAGATTTAAAAAATATAAAATTCTTAGTTTCTGATTATAATGTTCCCTGTATATTGTTTAAAGTGGGGGAAAAAGGGTGCCTGGGTGGCTCAGTCGGTTGAGTGTCCAACTTTGGATCAGGTCATGATCTCACAGTTCATGGGTGAGCCCCATGTCGGGCTATGTGCTGACAGCTCAGAGCCTTGAGCCTGCTTCAGGTTCTGTGTCTTCCTCTCACTCTGCCCCTCCCCTGCTTGCACTCTAAATGTTAAAAAAATTTTTTTTCTTTCAAGTGGGGTAAAAAAGATAAACTAAAATCTGCCTTTCTATTGTGTTCTATTTTCAAGTAGAAATCTAATCACTGTATAAATAGGCAAGGGTCAGAATGCTAATGTTCAAGTTAATTTTATATTGGTAAGCAACCTAGATTATTTTTGTAGTGTAGGTGGAGCCTCCTCTAACATTAAATTTTCGGTTTTCTGTTTTGATCAGTTGCCTCTAAATTAGTTAAAAATTTATTTATTTTTTTTAATGTTTTATTTCTTTTTTTTTTTTTAATGTTTATTTATTTCTAGGAGAGAGAGAGAGACAGCATGAGTAGGGGGAGGGTCAGAGAGAGAGGGAGTCACAGACTCTGAAACAGGCTCCAGGCTCTGAGCTGGCAGTCAGCACAGCGCCCGACGCGGGGCTCGAACCCACGAACCGCGAGATCATGACCCAAGCGAAAGTCGGACGCTCAACCGACAAAGCCACCCAGGCGCCCCGAATGTTTTATTTATTTCTGAGAAAGAGACAGACAGACAGCATGAGCAGGGGAGGGTCAGAGAGAGAGGGAGAAACAGAATCTGAAACAGGCTCCAGGCTCTGAGCTGGCTGTCCGCACAGAGCCCTATGCGGGGCTCGAACCCATGAACCGTGAGATCATGACCTGAGCTGAAGTTGGACGCTTAACCAACTGAGCCACCCAGGTGCCCCAAAAATTTATTTCTTAAATATTATACTAATTGGTTTACTTCAATTTGTTATGTTGATGATGGCTAACTTAGTACTTATGTGGCATTTTTTCTAACTATAATCAATGATATTTAAAGTTTTAAAGTTAATCTATTTTTTTAACGTTTATTTATTTTTGAGAGAGAGAGACAGAGACAGCAAGAGTCAGGGTGCTCAACTGAGTCACTCAGGTGCCCTGGACTTAATCTATTATTGAAAGGAATTTTCTCCCTAAAGAAATCAATGTTGTGTAGTTATACAGCTATAAAAACAAAAATCAGATTTTGTTTTCAATTAAAAAGAAAGGCTTTTGAAACTTAATCAGTAAGATTATTGCATGTAAATTAAGCATGACTAGAAAAGGTGATCGGTTTTCTTGCTATGTCACAGTGCTAATAACCTACAATTTATCCGTTCAAAGCATTCAGAAAGCTGAGAAGACTCGAACCATATGGTTCTCTCATTAAAAAAAAGTAATTTAAATTATTTGATGACTAAATGATCACATTGTCTAACGGGTCTGCTGCTTCTTGTCAGTAACTGCTCCTTCATTCTTTTCTGGGTCTTAAATATCTCTCAGCAAGTTTATGTCTCACAATTACAGATAATGAATCATAACTTAAAAGAACAAAGTGTTCTCTATGTTTTTTCCACCTCTAATTATGAAAGTCATGTAAGAGAAAGCTAATGAAATAGCTTAATAAAAACAAAACAATTAGTAAGAAAAGACTATGCTGACTTGGTTCTACTTTATAAAAGAGAAAGAGATCATTCATTTATTGAGCTCCAATGTATTGGGTATAGATGCTGAGGAAACAACGGAAAGTAAGACAAAGTCCCTGACTTCAAGGAGCTTATACTTTAACTTGTGGACATTATTTTCCCTTTAAAAAAATTTAACTGGGGAAAATGTGTCTTTTTTAAAATTTTATTTATTTTTGAGAGAGAGGGAGGGAGGGGGGAGGGAGGGAGAGAGGGAGAGAATGTGTGCAAGCAGGGGAGGGGCAGAGGGAGAGGAAAACAAAGGATCCAAAGTAGTTTCCACACTGACAGCAGACAGCCTGGTGGGGAGCTCCAACTCATGAACTGCAAGATCATGAACTGAACAGAAGTCAGACGATTAACTGACTGTGCCATCTAGGCTCCCTGTGGGTCTCTATTTTCAACAGACACAACAAAACTTCCCACTGTCAGCTCATGAAAAAGAAGACCAAATTCACAGATCCTCAGATTTGGACAACCATGGCAATTTCAATAACATTCTGCTATTGATTTTACTACCACATAAAATGTGGATATTATCGTGAAGACAACAAAAGTTATTCTAATTGGCTAATTTTCAACTGTCAATTTTTTTTGAAGCTTTTATTTTTAAGTAATCTCTATACCCAACGAGTGGCTTGAACTCACAAACCTGAGATCAAGAGTCCCATGCTCCACCACTTAAGCCAGCTAGGTGACCCATAACTATCCATTTTGGGGGACAGAGAAGGAAGGGGGAAAAGAAGAGAAGAATATAATCTGGTCTAGAACCTATTCTATCGATGAGCTTGAGGAAGTGACTCATTCCCATGACTTTAATATTATACAACTTAAACTGGGGATAGGATATCTACCAATAAGTTCAATAGCTTGTGTTTAGAAGAACCAGTTTTATTTTTATTGAGCATTGATGTCCAATATAATATATAAATCATAGAAAGCTTTATTTTGCTCCCTAGGAATTTACGTGTAGTCTTTGAAATAATATAAGGAATAAATCAGTTCTCTTCTTTCTCTTAAACCTAAGTAGCTTGGCAAATAGTTATATCTCATTTATGCCTGAGTTCTGTGGCTGGCTCTCATACACTGGGGACCAAATAAGAAAAAGAATGGTATTTTGTTGATAATTTATCACCTCTCCATCACTCCAACTGTTACTAGGTACCAACAAAATGTCCTCTGCTGTTGACTGCTTTCTCTTTCCTGGGCCTTTCAAATCCTTCACCCTTGTATTTCACAATGTCTATATCGAAAGTTTAAAAATAGGCAACAAATAGCTTTTTTTTTATATAATAATATTTTGTCAACTAGAGAGAGTGAAGCTCTCTAAAGGCAGATACTTAAGTCATGAAATATTTGCTGCAGCAGTATTGGTTTTAGCTGAAGCTAGATCTATAGTGAAAATGAGTGCTCGCTCTAAAATTAAGAAGATACAGGGGTGCCTGGGTGGCTCAGTTGGTTAAGCGTCCGACTTCAGCTCAGGTCATGATCCTATGGTTTGTGAGTCAAGCCCCGTGTCAGGCTCTGAGAACTTCAAGCCTGCTTCAGATTCTGTGTCTCCTTCTCTTTCTCTGCCATTCTCCTGCTTGGCTGTCTCTCTCTCAAAAATAAACATTAAAAAAAATTAAAAACATGGGGGTGGGGAGGAGGGAAAGGGGGGTGATGGGCACGGAGAAGGGCACTTGTTGGGATCAGCACTGGGTGTTATATGGAAACCAACTTGACAATAAATTATGAAAAAAATTAAAAACAAGAGAGTTAAAACTTTTACCAAAATTTTTAAAGTTTATTCATTTTAGAGAGACAGAGAATAAGTGGGGGAGGGGCAGAGAGAGGAGACATAGAATCCAAAGCAGGCTCCAGGCTCTGAGCTGTCAGCATGGACCTGGAAGCAGGGCTTGAACTCACAGACTGTGAAATTATGACCTGAGCTGAAGTTGGATGCTTAACCGACTGAGTCATCCAGGCACCCCCACATAGTTAAAACTTCTAAAAATTGTTTTCCAGTGAAATAATTTTTAAAAAATTGTTTTAAATGTTTTTATTTTATTATTTTGAGAGAGAGACACACACAGGACAAGTGGGGGAGGGGCAGACGGAGAGAGGGAGACAGAGAATCTGAAGCAGGCTCCAGGTTCTGTGTTGTCACAGAGCACAACGTGGCGCCAAATCCATGAACCATGAGATCATGACCTGAGCCGAAGTCAGATGCCCTACCGACTGAGCCACCCAGGTGCCCCCAGTGAAATAATTTTCTAAGCATTTTCCCTCAAACCATGAGATCATGACCTGAGCCGAAGTCAGATGCCCTACTGACTGAGGCACCCAGGTGCCCCCAGGGAAATAATTTTCTAAGCATTTTCCCTCAAATATTTATTTCATCATATTTGGGGCA